ATTAACTATATTTATAAACAACTTGTCATTTGAAATAAACACCAAGTAGAATCATGAATCTGGTACAAAGATAGTTATGGCTTTCCCCCAGCCATGAGATAACAAATATGTTTTCAAGAAAGGTCTGAAACATGGTAACATCAAAGCTTGATGCACTTTAGAGGGGAAGGTGCTATTTATTTTCTTAATTACTTTGTGTGTTTGTGGGGGGGGGGGGGGGGCATGGAATCAGGACTGCAGCATTAGAAGAAATCTGTATTTCTCTTTCCCTATCTGCAGTCTGGAAGGAAATCACACACACTGAGCTGCCACATAAAACTATGTGATTTAGCAAAAAAAATTCCATTGGACTGGGATAAGCATGTCCTCCACATGCACTATGATCACAATTGCTTGCCCACACCTATCATTAAAGAAAAAACCCAGACATAGCTATGCATTTAGCCTGCAGGAGGCAACAATTCTCTTGTCCAGAGTAAAGGGCTATGCATGCTGATGGTGCCACATGCCTAAAAACAGTATTTGAAATATACAGAGGACTTTTTCTTATTAAGTGGAAAGATAAACATTTCCCCCCTAACCATTTCTTCATTAAAACTGGATGTGGCTCCAAGACACCAGTTATGTTGATGTTGGGATGGCCATTACCTTTGGTAGGACTTTGATGGATGTCCTTTATCTCAGAGCTCATGAGTGCTAAGCTCAGAGGACTGCAGTACAGAACTGGAAACAGATGCTGCATGCCTTAAATTAAAGGTGCACTTGTGCTGCTAGAGGCTGTTTTTAATTGGTTTTTTCCAATGTATAGTGACTGCTTTATTGGGTTCCCTGCTTTCAGTGTGCAAGCCTCCAAAGCCACATTCAACACAGCAATGTTTAATTGACATAATAGCCTAACTACCTCTGAGTTAAGGAGCACCAAAGGATTGTCCAGGGCAAGAAGAAGAAATCAGGTGCTGTGTAATCATGAACATTGTGAATCCACCATTGGTGATATCAGCCAGATTTGGTTTATCAACTTAAGGTTGTATAATAATCAGGTAGAGGAGTGTCACCATAAGATTTTAGAAAGGCCATGGACTTATTTCCTCAGCATATTATCAGGTGCATTGAAATTACAGCTTAATTTAGAAAAGCCAGTGACCCATGCCCTCAAATGGGGAAGATTGTCATTTGAAATCACAGCTTGCAGAAGATGTAGGGACAGCAGCTATTGTTTTTGTAACTGCTGGACTTAACTGATTGGTCAATGTAATAATATTCTAAAGCCTTACTTCAGTATTAAATTCCACATATTCCTAATTTATTGTTTGAGTTTTTCAATCAGCAAAGTTAAAAATGTTGGGGTGCTGGTTAAGGATGCATTGGGAGAGCACAAAAAATCCATACATTAATGCAAACTACCAAATAACTACATCAAGGTGGCTAATGTGTTTAAAATTAGATATTGAATCAATTGTAAAGACATTCAATAATATTGTAATATAATTTTAAAATGTGCCAAGTGCTAGTCAATCAGCCAAGTATCTTTACATGTATTGATTCAGAAAATGGAACCAGGCAGTAGGTATAACATTGTCAGTGTCTGATTTTCCTTTTTAATCTCCTTTAATAAAGGGACTATTTGGAGGGGTGGCAGTAGAATGTAAACTTGACAGCTCTGAGAAGAGTTCTGTAATGTTACTGAGGCACCTATGCCTGCTTCCACCCCCAGTTTAGAAAGGTGGAAAGTTCCTGTTGCTGTCCATATTGCATCAGTGTGGTAACTCCCCCACTTAAAACTAGTAGCCAGCATCCCCCTGAAAATAAATTACCCATGTGCTTTCCATGTAACATTAAGAACAGGCAACTGGAGCCGAAACTACTTGTTTAATTTCAAGGTCACCATGTCTTTTAAAATAACCTTTTACAAAATACAAATATTACAAAACAATATTTTTGTTACCAACCCACATAACCATTTCCATCCCCATCTTCTGCCTAAATGAAAGATTCAAAACTAAAGCACAAAACCTACATATTTCCAATGCAAACAAATGTCAATTTATTGTTAAAAACGATCAAATATATATGTAAAAAAGGAAAACCATGACCATTCTGACATAAATGCAGACTTCAGTCTTTGAACCTTCTGTACAAGCTATTAGTTATAAATGCTTCAGTGTACTGAAATGTGCCCACCCAGGTACCAGAATGGTTCAGAGCCGTTTTGAAATATTGTCCATTCCAAAAGGCTGGTGACTAGTGGCAGGAAGAGATGAAGCAGAAAAGAAAGTAGGCAACAAACTTTTATGACCCAAATGTAAAGTACAACTTTATGTATGTTTACTTAGAGGTAAGTCCAGCTGCTTTCAGCTAGACTTTGCTTCCTACTAAGTGCTTAGGACCTCAACCTTAAACTTCAGGTGAATATAGGAGTAGCCATAGCAGATTGATAAAGCACAAACTTTACATGGAGTAGGTCCCAAGTTCAACTCCTAGAATTGGCAGGTAAGTCTAGGAAATACCCTAGTCTAGGTAGCTTAGTCAGTGTAGCCAACTACTAAGCTGGATGGATCAGTGCTCTGACATGGTACAAGGCAATTTCCTATAAATACTGCAGGAATATAAATATGGATGCAAAACTTCAGGCACTCAATAAGTCAATGGTAATTAAAAACCTGGGCCTGGTGACCAGTGATGTGGGATGAAAATATTCCAATGCTTTATTTAAAACATCTGTTTATTTAAAAAAGTGAATGTGTGCCAATTGCAAATACAGCATTAGCCTAGCTTGGTATTTTCAAAGTTGTAATGAATATTTTGCAGATTATTCCTAGCAAGTATGTGAGAGAATACATACATGTCACTGAAATACACATATCTGTGTGAAATGTAACTAATAAGAGGTGACAACAAAATTCAAGTTACCACAACACTGTTGAAACAGATGATGCATGTCTGTGATGGATGTCACTTTAATTCATTTAAATGAAGTATATGCTATTATCTTTACAAGTATTGCTATTAAAATGTCTGCATAATATAACATTTACACTACACTAAGTATAGTTTATTTTTCCTTAAGTAAACATTTAATATGGAGTACATTTTTAACTTTGCTGTTTGTTTTACCTGCAAGTAGTAACTTAGCATGTTTGGTGATTTTCCAGTGTGTGATGAAAATTTAGCCATGAAAACCAATTTTTTCTAATGCAAATGACCCTATGTAAATTAGCCTAATTTGCATTCAAAACTTTTCTAACAAATCCATATAACTACTGGTGACTGGCACATAACCTGTAGCAAAAGTGATGAAGCAGGTTTACCTTAACATCGAAGTTCTGCGTATGGTTTGGCACCCTAAAGAAAAGAGATCTGAATGGTCTCTGTGAGTGGTGTATGTATAATTGTTTCAGTAGGGTGAATAGGCTTATGAATGTGTGTAAATTGGTTAGCGCAAGAAGGGGACTATTTCCAGGTATCAGCCGAGGACTTCATTCCCTACATGTAACTGCTTTTAATACTTGGATGCTCTTAAACAGTCAAAAGCATAATCTCAGGGTTACAGGACAACACAATTAACAGCTATAGTATGTTAATTTAAATTATTTTTTGACTGCCTCCTAGGATAAAAACCCTTTGAAGGCAGTGTAAAAAACCATATAACACACATTATGAATGGGATTGGCAGCCAAAGGGTACAGTATGGACTGCTCCTATTCAGGATTCTAGCCATTTAGGCCCCTGGTTTTCTATTTTTCCCCTTTCAACCGTCAGTCTGCATCCTGTGCCCACTGAGCATGCTCAGTCCTTATTGGTCTGTTTTGAGTATCCCCTCCTCGCCTGTCTACGGGGGGCAACTTGCCGCTCTCCACTACCGCCAAGGTGTGTATCGTACTGACAGGTAAATTTACACAGGATTGTAGCCCTTAACCGATAGTTAGATTCTAGGGTGTGGTCTTCGAATGTGAGTAAAGCAGGGCAGTGTCATATACCAGGCCGGCGTGGGAGGGGGTATCTTTGCTCTTGATTAGACTTCTAAATATTTGTCCCTATCCATATAGGGTGGAAATCATCTGCTGAGTGTTCTTCCGTGGACTGTCCCTTTCCTGATGTCATTGCAGTATTTACATGGTCCTATGGCTCTTTCAAAGGCTTCACTGAACCCGCCTGTCGTTTCATATCGCTTTTCCAATGAGTTTTTGGGGAGCGTTTTACCTCCCGATGACAGTGGGTGGGCGCTCGCTGCTGTTGAAGATCGCAGAAGTGCACGTAGGTACTAGAGCTGCCTAAGGCAGCGCATCGCTTTGCATCATGCCTAGTCTCGCCCCCGCCGCCAGCTGAGACTCAGGTGAGCTGCCACCACTGCACGGCTGCCTGGCTCCGTGGGAAGCGCTAAGAATTCTGGGAAATGTAGTTCCCCTCTCTCCTGCCCCCTCTTAGCTTTTAGGGCAACAGTAAGCCACCAAGTCGATCCCAGGCAGCGTGGCTCATTTACTCTCCCCGTTAATCAGTATCCGTGGCTTAATTTTTTTAAAAAATCACCTATCACCACGGCAGAAGGAGCGACAGGAGTCTTGCACTCTATCTGAAAAGCAGGACCATACCTCCCTGCATGCTCCTCCCACCTCAGAGCTCTACATCCGCTTTTCTCCTGCCCAAGACCCTCTGGGGCTTGTAGTCTTACCCTAGTATTCACGACGGTTTCAACGCTGCTTACGCAAGGCCGTTCTTTGCCCCTCGACAGTCCGCTACGCTACGGAACCGGCGTAAGGGGCCGGTTTCTGGACTCTGTGAGGAAAAGGAGGGAGGAGGGGGTTGAGGGCTGGCTCTACTTTGGGGTTGAGGGGGAGGTAAAAAGAGAGATTGAGAGAGAGAGAGAGAGAGAGAGTGTGTGTGTGTGTGTGTGTGTGTGTGTGTGTGTGTGAAAGCGAGACGGGCACACACACGCGCGCGCGGGCGCGCGCGCATAAGGAAACGGCTTCCTGAGGAGACGGGTGGGGCGGGGTGGGAGTCGGGAGTTAAAGTTACTCTGCCGCCCGAGGTGGTAGGTGGGCGGTTGGGGTGAAAGGAAGAAGTACCAAGACGGGGCTGAAGCAAGGGAGCGCGAGCCGGTCAACCAGCCAGCGGGTCGCCGCCGCCGCCGCCCGGGCGTCCCCTCAGCAACGGTCAGTGGGAGCGCGCGCGACCCTCGCGGAACGCCAGCGGGGGGGGGGGGGGGGGGGGGGGGGGGGGGGGGGGGGAGGCTAGGTAAGGCTCTGCTCCCCCCACCTTTTTTACGGTCAGGAGAGAAGGAAGGGAAGAAGGCAAAGCGAGGAGGAATTTCCTGGTGCAGGGTGGGCTAGAAGCGTCTCAGGAATAGTCTCAGTAATGAGACTCCCTCTAAAAATTCTGGATTCCTAAAGTGCTGCACGTCTGGGTAGTGCATGAGACTCTTGCCATTTAAAAAAAATAGTTTTGAGGTATCTAGGACCTCTTCTCCCCGCAAACCTAAGGAGTCCTCACAGTAGGGAAATGCCTGTGTGTGTGTGTCGGTGTATGCACATACTCATATTCTCAAATGAGGGAAATGTGGAAAACAGTCTTTTAAGGTAATCTTCCTCAAATGATGCTCTCCAGATGTGTTGGCTACAACTCCCATGCTGCCTGCGAACGTAGCTGAAGACCTCTTTAATGAGCATCAGGAGAAGAATACTTGTCTCCTCTCTTGCTAAGGCTGCCCAACCTTGTGGCTTTCCAAACTACCTTTCACCATTTAGTAGAGGACCCACTGCTCTTTCTGGGGTTGAGCCTGGAGAACACACGGACAACCCTTTCAGCAGAGGGTTGTATTGTAAGTACTTGCACTGCTCTTCCATTATCTTCTCTTGGTTTGAACAAGTGTTTTCACAACTTGCCTTTTGGAAGCTTACAACTGAGATGAGAAATGGAAACTAAGAATAACAAAGTTATATTGCCAATAAAACAAGCCACAATTAAATGTCATTAAAACGTACCTCAAACAAACAAAAAAACCCACTTACTGGAAGGCACTAACTACAGATCTGTCCCCTGCAATGAAACAGTATTTAGAACCTGCTTATAAGCAGGCAAAGTTGTGTAGGTGTGGGCAGACAAACTTTTCTTGGGTGGCAATTTCATGGTTGAGTCATTACTTGCTTTGGAAATCAGGATCAAGTCTAAGGCTAAGTAAATTGCCCCTGTTCTCCTTCCTTTAATCAGGTAAAGGGGAAGGAGAAGCAGAACAAGAATAGTAGCCTGAATAAGGGAGAGTGTCACAGATGCATAAAGGGCAGGTTTTCACTTTACAAGGAGCTCCATTTTTCTTTGCTACCTTGATGAACACGTAGGTCACACTTGTTGTTTTCAGCTATAGTGACCCTGCAGAGATTGTTCCTTGCTGTTTTTACTCTTTCTGGTATCTCCTGTGAAGTAAAGGATAGTCTTGCCTAAACTGTTGCTTTGTTGTTTGCTTCCTGCTGAGAAGCTTTGGCATAATAAGAGAGAATAAGAGCCCCACTTTTCTAAATATTTGTGGTGGGACTCTTACTGGGCAGGCATGTAATGCAGCCATCATGTGGCCTTTCCCAATTTGGTACCCTGCACTGGTTTCGGGTTGGAACCGCCATCAGACTCCGCCAGCATAGTCAATGGTTTGAGGTGATGGGAGTTTTAGTGCCAGCCATATTTTCAAGTAAAGCTGCCCCTTTGTTTACTTTAATATGACTGATTAAAACAGAAGTCTTCATATTCGTTTCAGGGGCATGTGTAATTATGAATGAACACAGACTCGAAGGAGGAAGCTCTCCCTCCAACTATTTTTTGTATATGTCTGAAAATTACTGAGTATGTTGTTCCAGGAAGATTTGAATGGCTCACCCTCCCCAAATGTTTCCTCAAAACAGTGGGAAATCAGAATGTCCTAATGTCCTGGATACACCCTGCAATAAAAAGCTCTTGGAATTAGTAAGTTGCAAGCAAAGTAGGATGCACTTAAATATATATCTGATTGGCCAGGATGTTTGTGATTAACATCACTTTGCATGCATACATATAAGGAGTTCTCAGTCATTTGAGACTTTAAAACATTGTTATCCTTTTGAAGCTTCTTGGTGATGGCGGCTATATACAAGTACCTCAAACGTATTTTTTAAATGAGAAGTCAGAAACTTATTACGGTTACTGTGAATCCTTGTGCTAGTCTTTAATGAATTGCATTAAAGTTAAATACCACACCAAAGGTAAACAACATCCATTCTGAAGAACTGTACAGATCCCAAACATGAATGGCTTTAGCTTCCTAAATCCAGCTTTGAAGTAGGGAAGTGATGTTGGCACCAATATGAGAGGCACGGGTTTGAAGCAGAGTATCTTAGCCTAAGGTCAAGCAGTGACTCAGTGGCAGGATCAAAAATGGAATGTAAGATTTCTTGCTTCTCCTGGAAAGTACATGAGAATGAGTTGTCCAAGGAAGACTCCAATTTCTAATTTAGAATCTGCAGTCAATGGAAAGGTCATCAGTATAATGTCCATTTTTCTGTTGATAATATTTTTCTGACTAGATAATATTCTGATAATATCCTCACATTTTGGGTCAGTACAAACTGCCATCAGAAAGCTACTTACCTTGCCTATGAATCTTTATAATTCTTTTAAACAGAAAATCTGATTTGCCTTATTTTCTTGTTAGTATTGCAGAATATCTGATGTCAAATAATAGTGCACTGTAAAAGGTTAATCAGTGTTTGATTGTTTTTGTGTGTGAAGACCCTGACCAATGTAAACATATTTCACTCAGTTTATACATACAGCAACAGCCAAAGCAGTTTGTGTGTGACTGTTCAAACTGAAACACTGTGGTATTTTCAAAAGTATTCCCAAAATGCTTTTCTTGGCTTTGTACTAATGAAAAGCAACACTGAACTTCTTTACTCTGTGTGTGTGTGTGTGTGTGTGTGTGTGTGTGTTGGAGGTGGGATTTAGTTGGTTTGATGGTTCTTTAGGGGGAAAAATCTAAAAGCAATAACATTTTAGTTTTATTAGCCAATAGAAGATGAGTTATGGTGAACTTGGAAGCTTCCTCAGTACTTTGTGACATTTCAGGTGCTCCTAATAAACATAATATGCTCTTGCTGATTTTGGATAATTTTAATGTTGTGAAGGTAATGTTTTGCAGTCTACCACTGTAGCCAGACAGGAACTTTCCAAAATGTCCCCATTCCATTTATGCTGTGTTGGCCTTCTTGCCAATGCTGGGAGATTGTCAGTGATTACCTGAAACCAAGCTTTTTCTCCTTTTTCATTTGAGTGGTCAAATGAAAATGTATAGGTATTGTGGAATTGCATCCTTCTAAGTAATGTGTTGTGTTGTGGTATTATGGCATTCTATAAATGATAGCAAGAGATCTGGATATGATTTTTTCTTGTTGGGGTGTATGTGTGTTTGTTTTTGCTTAGTTTTGTGTTATTGTGTGCATTGTATTCTTTCAAGTCTTTTGTCTTAAATTGGTTCGGGGTGTGTGTTAGTTATTATTGTTTTGGTTAGTTTTGAGTTATTGTGCTTATTCCACTTTACCAAGTCTTTTTATTGTTTTAAATTGATTTTAGATGGTGATGAGAAACCCTGGGGGACAAGAGGGTGCCCCCCATTAGTGTGTAGAGGGTTAGGGTGAGATGGACGTGAGTGTCAAAGCTCATTTTTCACATGTAAGATTAAATTGACTCCTGATGTGAGTGTAAAACTTACATTCATTGAAGTATACAGTTAATGTTCCAAATTGCTTCCCATGTTCTGAATTAGTATATCAAAGAAGTGAGTACACCCCTCACATTTTGTAAATATTTTATTATATCTTTTCATGTGACAACCCTGAAGAAATGACACTTTGCTACAATGTAAAGTAGTGAGTATACAGCTTGTATAACAGTGTAAATTTGCTGTCCCCTCAAAATAACTCAACACACAGCCATCAATGTCTAAACTGCTGGGAACAAAAGTGAGTACACCCCTAAGTGAAACTGTCCAAATTGTGCCCAAAGTGTCAATATTTTATGTGGCCACCATTATTTTCCAGCACTGCCTCTTGGGCATGGCGTTCACCAGAGCTTCACAGGTTGCCACTGGAGTCCTCTTCCACTCCTCCATAACGACATCACAGAGCTGGTGGATGTTAGAGACCTTGCGCTCCTCCACCTTCCGTTTTAGGATTCTCCACCGATGCTTGAGAGAGTTTAGGTCTGGAGACATGCTTGGCCAGTCCATCACCTTTACCCTCAGCTTCTTTAGCAAGGCAGTGGTCATCTTGGAGGTGTGTTTGGGGTCGTTATCATGTTGGAATGCTGCGGCCCAGCCTCCAAAGGGAGTGGGTCATGCTCTGCTTCAGTATGTCACAGTACAAGTTGGCATTCATGGTTCCCTCAATGAACTGTGGCTCCCCAGTGCCAGCAGCACTCATGCAGCCCCAGACCATGACACTCCCACCACCGTGCTTGGCTGTAGGCAAGACACACTTGTCTTTGTACTCCGCACCTGGTGGTCGCCACACACGCTAGACACCATCTGAACCAAATAGGTTTATCTTGGTCTCCTCAGACCACAGGACATGGTTCCAGTAATCCATGTCCTTAGTCTGCTTGTCTTCAGCAAACTGTTTGCGGGCTTTCTTGTGCATCATCTTTAGAAGAGGCTTTCTTCTGGAACGACAGCCCTGCAGACCAATTTGATGCAGTGTGCGGCGTATGGTCTGAGCACGGACAGGCTGACCCACCACCCCTTCAACCTCTGCAGCAATGCTGGCAGCACTCATCCATCTGTTTCTCAAAGCCAACCTCTGGATATGACGCTGAGCACGTGCACTCAACTTCTTTGGTCGACCATGGCGAGGCCTGTTCTGAGTGGAACCTGTCCTGTTAAACCGCTGTATGGTCTTGGCCACCGTGCTGCAGCTCAGTTTCAGGGTCTTGGCAAACTTCTTATAGCTTAGGCCATCTTAATGTAGATCAACAATTCTTTTTTTCAGATCCTCAGAGAGTTCTTTGCCATGAGGTGCCCTGTTGAACTTCCAGTGACCAGTATATGAGAGTGAGAGCGATAACACCAAATTTAACACGCCTGCTCCCCATTCACACCTGAGACCTTGTAATACTAACGAATCACATGACACCAGGGAGGGAAAATGGCTAATAATGCCCAATTTGGACAGTTTCACTTAGGGGTGTACTCACTCTTGTTGCCAGCAGTTTAGACATTGATGGCTGTGTGTTGAGTTATTTTGAGGGGACAGCAAATTTACACTGTTATACAAGCTGTATACTCACTACTTTACATTGTAGCAAAGTGTCATTTCTTCAGGGTTGTCACGTGAAAAGATATAATATTTACAAAATGTGAGGGGTGTACTCACTTCTGTGATATACTGTAATACAAAAATGCTCAAATATATGGAAGCTCCATAGTGTGATTGGACTATCAAGCAATACTGAAAGAAGGCATTCGTTGGTACCCCATCTCTTTTTCCCACTTCTTCCATATTTATTTTCTGCCCATCCTTTAAAAAGCCCAAGCAATATTTGTGTGTCTATTTGGCTTAGACTAAGAGAAAGATGGAGGTAGTGACAGATTTTATTTTCCTGGGCTCCAAGATCATTGCAGCCAAGAAATTAAAAGACGCTTGCTCCTAGGGAGGAAGGCTATGGCAAATCTAGACAGCATACTGAAAAGCAGAGACATCACCCTGCCAACAAACGTGCGTTTAGTCAAGGCTTTGGTTTTCCCAGTTGCAATGTATGGCTGTGAAAGTTGGGCCCTAAGGAAGGCTGAGCACTGAAGAATTG